GGTGATGCTGCATTTTTTTTTTTTTTTTGTATAGAAAAGAAGAAAAGGGCTCAGTTCTCTACATTTCTGAAAGCAGGAGAGAGAATAGCATGGTTTAGCCAATGCTTTGGTCTTGCTTTGCTGACTTTGACCCACACAGTTCACCTCACTCCTCCTCCAGGAACATTTCTGTGTCCTTGACTGCCTTGCTTTTGCCTACTGATAAGAGAGCAGTTTCACTTCAAGACACTGGGTGCTCTCCTCAGAGAGATTCTTTTTTTTTTTTTTCCTTCACAGCTTTTCATTTCTTCTTTGCTTTGCCTCAATAAGAAGAAAAGGAGACAAATTCATCTGTAAGGTAGGTGAACAAATTCATGTTTTTGGACACATCTTGTTTCATGCTAACATCAAGACATAATAGTGGTTTCTCTTTCTACTTCTCCCTCCCATTTAATTCTGCCCTGCTTTCTGTTGCTATCTCCCACTCACCTTCCCACAATAACTGGAAGCTAATCCAGTGCTTGTCCCAGATCTCTAACTACCAGTGCCTGCAAGCTCATGTTGGAAGCAGCAGCACAAGCAGCACAGTTTCCTGGAATTCTCTTACTTGGTTCTTGAACAGTTCAACTTTCACCTTCCATGCAATTTTAAGTAGAGAAACTTTTGCTTTCTAACTCATCCCAGGCTTGTGCAAAGAGGACTGAGAGAAGAGGACATAAGCATGAAATGCACTGGTTGAAGAAAGGTTCAGATCACCTTGCTGACTTCAGGGGTTTCTTGCCTTCCCACAGAAGAGAAGAAACATCTCTTCCTTTTGCCTGGAACATGCTTTAAGCACGAAGACTTGCACAGAAGGAGCTCAAACTTACAGAAAAAGGAACACAATTGAGCAAAGGCAGAAATGACTGCCAACCACAGTACCCAGGTGTGAGTGCAGAGAAAAGCTGATGCTGCTGATCCAGATAAGCATTAGGAAGAGATGCTCTAGTTTTATAGCCAACAGCATCCTCACATTTCAGGAAAGTTCTGCTCTGAGGCATTGGTAACTGGGAAGGTAGAAAGAGCCTCTCAGATGCATTTGGTATGAAGTCACAGAACAAAGATCTGAGACGGAATCAGACAGTTGTCCTATACAAGCCAGCCTCTCATTTTTCAGAAGAGCAACGCCCATTCCAACCACATGCCAAATGCTTCTCAGGGTCATTCACATCCCTTCATCATCTACCTGACCTACTCACGTGAGAAAGGCTTCTTCCACTGTTAAATTTTACTTGTCAGATGCATGCCTGACAATACATTCTTTCTTGGCTCCTGCATTACTAGCAAGAATACTACAACACACAAACACCCTGCATTCCTCAAGGTCACTCCTGAGAGGCACAGTCAATTTGATTCACTTCTCTCTACTCTGCGCAGCTCCCTCCTCCACCAATTCATACCGGTAGAACAAAGGCCTGGCTGCTTGTGGCCTCTGTCCAGATATACACTGGGGTAATTCCACAGATTTCAACACAGCCACACCAGAGTAATGCTGGAATTTAATGCTAAGCTCATGAATCACGTAGGAAATGCAGACAGCACAGCTTCAGCTATGATCCCAAGAGAAAGGCTGCTGCAAGCTGAACTAGCAGTGTCTGAACAGAGATCTCTGCAACAAAGTCCAGCTGGAAAAATTTAACCCTCTCCGTGCAGGTTTTGTATCGAGCCTGCTGCTGGCAATTGCTCTCCTTTGCGGTCAGGAATGAACGTGCTTCTGGCACTGCAGCAGGATGCATTGTAACAGAACTCAATTTCAGAGCCCTTACGACTGGTAAGTCCCTCGCGCATGCACACACCTAAACACATGCTAGGCTCTGCGTGTTGCCTCGGGGCACAGAGGCACCAAGGTGAGGCACAGAGCATTACAAACCCAAGAACCCACCCTAACTTCACCTAGGCCCGTGGCTGCCCTACCACCCAAGCACTACGATAAGATGGAAAGAATGAATCCCATCACGGAAAGAACGGTCTGCCCCGACCCGAGCAGTCACAGGGATTCCCCTCCGCGAGGCTTTCTGCGCTCTGACCGAGCAAGAAGGCTACAAATGACTCACCGCTCCCTGCTAATGCCCTGCCCTGAGCTCTATTCGCCACGTTGGTGTTCTACCAGCTACCCCAGCTGTACCGTGCTGCTGGAGTCCAGCCTGGGAGCTGCTGCCCGGCACCAGGGACGCCGAGAGGGGAGCCGGCTGCGGACGGCACACGGGTACAAAAGACCCCCAGGCAGGGGCGCTCCCTGGCCGCCGCTCGGCCACCGAGGGGCTGGGCGGCCCCGTCGTACCTGATGAAGGTGGTCTTCCCGGTGGAGTACTGCCCCACCAGCAGCACCATGGGCTTGTTGTCGAAGTCGGCATCCTCCAGGGCGGGCGAGTGGAACTCGTGGAACTTGTAGTGCTCCTCCAGGGGCAGCAGTTTGGTTTTGTAGAGCTTCTTCAGACCCTCGCTGACCGTCTGGAACACCTCGGGGTCCTTCCTCCGGCGGTCGTCAGTGCCCAGCCAGCTGAACATCTTCGGGCCGCCTGAAGCCAGCTCCGCTGCGAGCGCCGCGGTCGGGCGAGGGGCGGTGCGAGGGGCTGCGGCCGGGGCTACCCCCGCATGCTCCCTCTGGGGCCGCTGTCCGCCGCGCGATCGGCAACGGCGGTTTCGGTCAGCAAACGCTCCTCGCGGCCAACCGGCGCCGGGAGACGCCGCTTCCCTTCACGCCGCCGGCTGCCGGCGCGGGCATACCGCGGTGGAACGGCGCGAGGGGCGGGCGGAGGCGGCAGCGCCCTCGGAGCGCGACGTTTAAGGGTTGGCCCTGCAGGAAATGGGCAGGAGCCGGAAGTCGGAACTCCTGGCAGCGCCGCCCGTTCTGCCCGGTGAATGAAGCCGCGCCGGGCGGCGCCATGTTGAGGAGGTGTGCGGAGACAGAGAGGGGCTGCGGCTGCACGGCGCGGCGGGGTCCTCCAGCCCTGCCGCCATCTTATCCCGCCCTGAAACAAACTGTGTGTGCGAGCTTGGCAGGGAACTGGGCTCCTTCTGAACGATGCCATCCCAAAGCCAATGGCTGAAGTGGGAGCCCTGTCAGTCTACAGCTCTGCACCAGAGCAGCTTCCTCAGTGGGAGGCTTGGTGATGAGGCACGGAGCTCACCGGGGTGGCTCGGCTGCGAGTCACGTTCAGTCACTGCTATCTGAGCACAGCAGCTTGTGCCTGGAGTGATTTACTGCTTAACTTGGTCGTTGGCTGTGCTTTTATTCCTTCCGCAGTTTGGGCAGCAGGAGGGATGGAGAGCAGGGGTTGGCAGTGCCCATCTATGGCCAGGCCTGCCTGCAATGCCACCCTGCCGGTCTGCTGACTGCAGCTGAGTGGCTCGGACCGAGCGTTTCCTTAAGTGTCGCTAAACAGCTTTTTCCTTTGACTTTCTTCACCAAGAAATGTGGCAAGAAGCAGTCTTGGAAGAGGTCCCGTTGTGTCGTGGGTGCCTGCCCTTTCCCAGCCGTCCGCGTCCAGCACTATTTCAGGCTGGAGAAGTTAGATTTGTTGCAGAAGGAGATGCAGTGAAAGCAGTTGATTTTCACAGAGGAAGACCGAGGTGCACGTGGTCCCGTGTGCCTGGATCTTACTGTTGAATGAGAACAAAGAATAATAAAGTTGTTTGCACTGAATGTGTTTTGCCTTTGTTGGCAGCCAGGGACTCTCCTGGGAACACACTGGAGGATTTGGGGATCGTTTTCTATGTATTTGACTGTGGATGAGTTTTCCTGATTCTACAATTGGGTGTGTTTGCACAGACAGCTTTTCCATGCAGCCTGACCAAGAGGTGGAAGCAATGAGTCCAGGGACAGGCTTTGTTTTTCTGGAAGGAAATAACAAGTTGACTGTATGTTCTGAAAGTCAAGCTCCCCTACTTTGCTGCCAATGCCTAAAGCTGGTCTGAAATGGGAACTGATGTTTTTAAACCTTTTTAAGATTCATTTCCCTTGTTGCTTTAGTTCTTATAAATAGAGTGAGATTTTGGCTCTAGGAATTAATTATTTCCAGTAAATATTCCTGAAAAAAGAAGGACCCTGTAGAAATCAACAAAGTTTGGCAAGAATTCCTTGTTTTGTAAGAAAAACTCGCTTTCATCTTCTAGATAGCTCTCCATTTAAGGACTGCGCTCCTCAGAGGCCATTCTGGTATTTCTCTGGCTATATATGGAGCCTGCTACTCCTCAGTGGTTCCTTGTGATAGTCTCAGGGCTGAGTAAAGGTCAGGCCAGGAAGTCTTTGATGGCAAATCTCCCCAGACCACCTTGATACCCTTCCTGAGTGCCACAAATGGGAGAGAAACGTGAGTAAGCCTTGTGTTGTGCAACTTCTGGGAACTAGTTGCTGCAGGTACAGCAGAAGCACCATTGTTCCACATCTACAAGATGAAGATAAATATTAATGATTAAGCTGCGTTTATTATAAGTATTTATGCCAAAAGGCCAAAAAACATCCTCACAGTCTCTGAAGACAGTCCTTTCCATTTGCATTCATTATTGTCATGGCAGATTGTACCAAACTTCACAGTTTTTATAGACTTTCTTTAGGTGACTCACACAAGTTGCACAATTTTATTTGCTTTTTTGGTCTGTTTTCTTGGCTGATTCTCTCAGAGAGGCTGACTTCCTCAGGGGCTCTCCTTACCTTAGATGTGTAGAGCTTGTCAAAAACAATGGAAAGTAAAATTAGGAAAGGAAGTTTAGAGTATAGTCAGTTTTTATATCTTCTTTTCCTGGTTTCAAACTAAAAATTTTGATTTGTTTTCTTTATTTATTCCTTTTTATTTCTTAAACAGACTTGTTTTAATGTAGAGTTTTCTGTTGGACAGATTGGTCTCACAATGCAGAGTTGTTTTTTTTTAATTCCACATATATATGCTTAAAACTTTTGAAAGCAGAAAAAGAACTAAAGCAATGAATTTTTTAGGGTTTTTTTTTTTTTTTTTTTTTTTTTTTTTCCAGACAATGTTTTTTTCCTATAAAAAGTCTCTGCTGGAAGAAGAGCTGTTTTTTGTTTAAAGTCCCTGAGCATTTCAAACCCAAACTCACTCATTTTAATGTCCTGCACATTAAATGCTGTACCGCAGTGCTCAAGATGTGCTGGTACTGATGGGACATTCTGCTGGTGTCCTCTGTTCATGAATTTGTCTTCCTCTCTGTATATAGAAAGATTAAACTTCCGTTGGTTTTCAGTTTCAGTTGCTGGTGACATGTAAACCGAACTGGGTGTTCTCCTTTTCCAACAGAGAGACTTTGCTAGAGATGATGCTGCTGGAAGTGAATGGGACTAGACTCCAGTCACGTTGTGTTTGTCTTCAAAACGAAACCTAATGTGTGGGGGCAAAATACGGTGCTGTGTAACTGAAACTTGTTTCACATGAAATCATTACTGTGATGTGTGTTTGCTTATCGCCCCGCCTTAGACTAGACAGGTTTGCTTCCTGTGAAGATCATCTGAGAATGGAGAGATGGGCAAATCTCCGTGTTTGAAAGGAGGTTGTGACTCAGTCAGCGCTGTGAAACTTTTGACAGTCTGAAGAAGGTTATGAGAACGGTGTAGTTCAGTAAAATTCACTTCCTGCCAGGGCAGTTGTTGTCACTGTTTGTTTATCACCAAGTCTGAAAGCCAAAAAGCAGTGTCAAAAGTTCAGTTGATTATGGGTGCAAGAGTGAGTAGCAGAGTTTGTGTGAAAGGCACAAGGGGAGACGGATGTGCAGCAGCCTAGAATTAAACCAAAACCACTAAAATTTGGTAAGGGAAGGAGACTTTTCTCTGGTTCAGCATGATCAGATTTCTCAACTGCCTCTTGCTGTCATGTGGCCTTGGTATTGTCTCCAGGGTGGTCTGTCCCTTTCCTACTCATTGATTTGTCTTTAGAGCCGAGAAAGCTGCTGCTTTCCTTTCCTACCCTCACTGCTCTTCATGAGAAATACTTCTCATGATGTTTTTCCTGCTGTTGTTCTCAAATGGATGGGTACACCTATGCTGTCTTTTGTCCTGCCCAGTACAAACAACTTTTATTCCCTCATTGCTTGGCGTGGAACCAAGTGCTTGGTACCCAGAAGTGCCACCAGAAATGGGAAATACGGGCTTGGATAATGTATGTTAATGGGAAGCATCCTTGCTTCAAGATGGTTCACTCTTTACCAGATGTAAAGCAAAGAAAGCGTTGTAGGCTACTAAGGGACCTGATCAATATGATACCTGTAATAGTGCCAGAATGAAAAATCCCAAGCCCTTCTCCATACGTAGCCGTCCTTACAGTGCAGAATCTTGGAGATTTCTCATATAACTCTTCGATGGTTTTGACTGACTCTGCCATAGGACATACAGTTTATTTGAACTTACATGTATATTCTTTATAGAAATTGTTCTGATTTGGTGATGGATTAAGTGGAGAGGTGCTCATGGCTCCAGCTGTTCTGAGAGTATGTATTTTTTAAGGGTATTTCCTTTCTGAACATTTCCCTACCTGAGCAGAAATTACGTTTAAATGTATTCAGACACGGTTGAATGCATCCTCCTGTTCTGCTTTGCCAGTGATGCATGGAGTGTTGCAGAGTTTTGTGCTTTGAATAATCAAACAGCATACTAAACAAGGAAGCTGCCTTCTACTTGAAGGGATGAGTCAAACATTAGATGGACTGACCTTTTATTTTATGTCTTATGTGAGATGTTTTACACTAGGGTTCTCAGAAATGTTCTGGCATTACTCAATTTGTTTTTTTCCCCGCCTTCTTCTGCAGTGCTTGTTGGATGAGTACTAGCCCTCAGTGTTACGTAGGCAAGGCATATATATATACACACATGCACACAAATGTTCGGAAGTAAGGATAGCATATATGCCGTTTATGAGCAGAGTTCATCACTGCCAGAGGAACAATTATCCTTTGCTGTGAGGACACACCTGGAGAAGGTAGGACATTAAATGCCAAGTGCTACATCTAGAGCTTTGGTGCTAGCATTATTAACCAGTATCCATGTGGGTGGCACAGAGTTAGGATGTCCCAAAGGGTTGAAAGGAGTAGAACTCTGTCAGCACTTGCCAGAGGCATGCTGCTGAGAGGAAGCTGTCCTCTAGGATCAAAAGAGTGTATTAGTTACATGATGCCGCTAGCCACGCTGAACAGCAGCTGCTGCTGTACTTTTCTATGGAAGTGTTAAAGGCAAAAGCAGAAAGTCTGTGTCAGCAAACATGAGAATAATGGGTGTGATATAAAGCAACTAGATGAGCTGGGTCAGCTGCTCTGCATGTCACAGTTCCAAAGCTCCCTGGAAGCATGGTTGGGAACACAGGCTGGTGTTGCAGCAAACCAAAATTTTGTTCACCTTTCTGCTCTCAGCTTTGCTGTTTACAGAAGATTTTGCTGATATTTGGCCACAGAAGTTAAAAGTTTCTTCTGAGATTCAGCTAAAGTTGTGGGCGGTCAGGATCTCTGATAGTTAGGATGATTATGAATATGGATGTTGTAACCTTAAGTGCTAAAGGACAGATCCCAAGAAAATGGGAAATTCGTGCTTCCACTGCTTTTACAGAGCTTGGACAATCTTCAGAGTAAAGAATATATCTTTTAAATTCTCAGCCAGAGTCTTTAAAAAAAGTGTTTTTTCAGGGAGGTATTGGCTGAAGCTCTGAGTGCCGTCCAGGCATATTCCCTATAGGCTTATTGTTAACTTCAGTGGGAGACTCTGGGGCAAGTTCCCTGCGTGGCCTTGAAAATTTCAGTGCCGGAAGATGTTCGTGACCTTTTGGGCCAAGAATCTAAGCACTGGAAATTCAGGGCAAGGCTCTCCACCTAACAGTACTTTCATTTATTTTGTGAGAAAACACATGTACGTACTTCTTTTCAGGATATTGTTGTTTGCTAAAGCACCCACGAGAAAAACAGGAGTCAGCATTGAGTTTTTATTTCTGAAATACACTTCGGTGTTTAATTAAAGACTCGAGCTTGTACCTGCAAGTGCAGTTTTCGTAATGTATGTTAAGAGACTAACAAACATTAACAGTGCCCAATACAGTCACTTGTTCATTTTGACTGTTTATTTGTCTACTTAAAGTTCTGTTGTATTACAAGAATGGCTGTAAAAGATGTCCTGGCATCATTTGTTCTGCTCACCCTAAAATGTACTATTTTGCATGCAAACATTTGTTTTATTCCATGCAGGAGTAGCTCCATATAGATACTAGCTCATGAAATCAGGAGAGCTGGACAATGTTGTCCAAGATTAATCCTCTCTTAGGGAAAGAGGCTCTCGGGGAATCCTTTGATGGTCCAGTTACTTGTACTGAAAGTGAAGAATTTTCTGCAGCTTCTTCAGATTTTTATTTTAAGATTGAGGAACCAGACCACTTCATGGCATCTAACATGATGAGCAGGAGAGCACAGGATGCTAATTTAGTGGAAAGAGGTACATCAGATGGCAAATATGCTGACAAGGGTAACGTGCAAAGAATAGAGGATCAAATCCATCCAGCCTGCACGTTCACAACTTCCATCTACAGCTTTTAACCTCTCTGCTATGCTTGGCTCCTTTCCACTAGAAATCATAATGACTGGAAGAGACGTGCACAGACTACTCTCCATCCATACCAAAAGACACGGTGGGACGCACTGATTGCTGACAGTCTAGTTCAGTAACATTGCTGAGTGGAATACAGGTGATGTATTTTCATATACAGCTGTGTCTGGCTCCTGCTCATACACAGGACTGAGGTCAAACAGCAGGCAGAAGGTGGAACAAGATTTCCAGGTAATTTGGGAAAGAGTTTAAAACAATACAGCTACAGGTAGGGTCAGATGGGAGGTTTTCAAACTGCCCCACCAACTCACAACAGTGTTACAAGTATGGCTGCTGACTGGCTGCTGACTCAGCTTCTTGGGAATAAGGCTGTGTATTCAGGAGATTTAAACCTCCAGTTTTGAAAGCACTTTCTTTTTCATACTGTTTTTTAGTTTCAAAGCCTATTGAAAAGGTTTGGTTGTTTTTAAAATAAAAATCAGACAGGTGTGAACAGGTGAAAGGGTTATAATGATTTGATCAAGTATTAAGGAAGTTCAGCACATGCAATAATCAGTTCTCAGATATTTGCTTTTCACCATAGGTCTGAGTATTTCAATTGCTCACCAGTTCTTCTGCGGAGCAGCAAAATGAGAATTTCTGCTTCATACATGAATACTGAACACAATTGGGTCTCCAAACCATTTTCTGCATTAAATCTGTGTCTCTGTCCATTGTTCATATTCTTGTAGCTGTGAAGGTCAGTGACTGCAAAAAAGACAAGGTTTGGAGGGAGAGCCAATATTTTTCATCTGGAGAAAAAGTAGAGAAGTTGTTAGGCACTTACATCCTAGGTTTGAAATGTACCATGATAATGTCCAGTGGGAAATTGTATTTTTGTTTCCAAGGCTATCGTTTGAAGATTTTTCTTTCATTTGCCCTTGAGAAGCAAGCCTTGTAGATCAATTGTAGAGCAGTTTTAAAACAACTAAGGAGGGCTCTGTGCGGGAGGACAGTGTAATCTGTGTTTGTTTGGTTTCTCACAGGGAATGCTGATGACCTACAACTTTAATGAGAGTAACAATCAATGGTTCCTAATTGAGATCAGTTTCCTAGTGTGCCTGAGGCAGTGACTTGCAGTCTCAGAAGGGAAGGCTTCCAAATACTGTCATTTCAGCATGGGAACCATTTATTGAACTTAGTAGCATGATAAACTTTTTCAGTCAACCTTGTTACTGTTTATGGGCATGATCTGTCTTCTGAGTTTCTTAATCATTTTTTTATTTCTCCATGCAAAAGATGCTCACCACTTGTAGCAAAAGGTGATGGCTGCTAATATTTAGCATAACTACTGACATACATGTATGAGGCATGAAAAATGGGTTGTGTGATCACTTTTTGCTGTTTTCAGTGGGAGGATGAGAAACATCTGTCTTGAATGTTCCAAGAAAAAAAAAATCTCAGTATGCAGTTTCATGTGTGAATCTGTGGTCATCAGCAAGATGGAATGTGATCTCTTGGGGATGATTGTATCATTTTTCAGAGTGAGGCAAAGAGGGCAATGACTATTGGAGGGTTTTGAGTAATGGCTTTGTAACGCTTAATGCATTCCATGTTTTGTTAGCTTTTGGTTTGTCTTAATGTTTTTCCTGCTTAGGGAGGGGAAATATTCACATGCCAGAATGTCATTCATGTTTTAGCATGTTATGAAAAGACTGTCATTCATGTTCTAGCATGTTATGAAAACACCCTGGAGAGCCTAGAATAGCCTGGAGAGAGACTCAGAATAGCTGTATATAGCTTTTAAGCCCAGGTAAAAGTCAGTTGGTAACTCATTTTGACATAAATTTGCAGAATGTAAAGCCTTGAAAACACAGTGACAGATATCAGATTAGAATCAGAGGTGGGTCCACTCCTCCTGTGAGTGCCGTCCCCCTCTGCTGGTTAAAGAAAAACGTTAAAAGCTGAGATTCAATTTAGTTTTTACATTTATTTTAATGATCCAGAACTCTTCTGGAGAAGACATACCTCATCCCAATATACAAGGAATTTCTAACAGGACTGGGCAGGGCAAGATCCCTGTAAGCTCCTCAGAGGAAGAATATCGCCATGCCTTTGTTGCCATGCCTGAAAAAAAAGAAGCCACTTGGGTCTTTGGGAAAGAGTATCTTTCAAAAACACAACCCACCTGTCCAGCAGAACTACCAGGCCTTGCTGGAGACGTGCTTGAGGAATAAACAACTGTTCACTGATGAGAGTTTCCCTGCTGACATCAGCTCTATTGGAACGGGAGCAATAGTGAAGAAACTCCCCCGAAATGTACAGTGGAAGAGGCCACATGTAAGTGATTTTTAGTGAATATTCTCATGTAAGAGAGTGATTAGAGTTCATAGACAGCAAGTAGCGATAACATCAAGTGGACTTACTCCTAGACTTTGTGTGCCTTAATGCCTTCAGAAGTGATACTTACTGTAGCAGCTGTCATGTCAGAAGCTTGTGTACATATAGTTTCATAATTGCCTTTAAAGCATTTATTGCCAGAAATCATAACCAACTTTATTCAGTTTATATCCAATAACACTTAGAACAGGCAGAAAAAGCAAATGAAGGGGGTGAGTGGAAGCTAGTGCCCTTGAAACAAGTAGCATGCTGGCAGATGTGATGATTCTGTGGGGATTCTGTGATGTCAGTTCTCGTGGTGACAGCCTCTCTCCCCAGAATTGAGAATCTTAACGTTCTAGAAGATTTCTGAATTTTCAGACCATTCCTAGCCTTTGTCCCCCATCCCATGGACCACATACTGTTGTGATGCTGAAAGCTGTTACTTTCCTGGACAGTGGCAGGTGCCTTATCCTCTTGCTGGTCTGTGCTTTTTTTTTTCTTTTTTTTCTTTTTTCTTAACTATTTAGTCTATTCTTTACTGTATTTGTGCGCTGTTCCCCAGCTCTCAAGGTTGAGCTTCTGCCATGACTGCTAACTGATCATCAGTGGGTTGTTTTCAGTTCTGAAGCATTTTACTTGTGCTCGTATTTCCAAGGTCCTTGCTGCTTGCTACCCCACGCTTAAATGGAATGAACAAGACTCCTGGGACCAAGCTGTGATCCCAGAGCAAGTTCCCATAACAAATTGATAACAAGTCTTGCTGGCCAAGACGGGGTTCTGGCACAGTTAGAGAAGGCCTGTTAGCTCTTTTGCTAGCAGTGACAATTCTGTTCTTACTGAGTCATCGAGGAGCACATTGATACTCTGATCTTCCTAAAAGCAGTCATCTGGGAGATTCAGTCCCACAGACTCCTTACCTGCAGGTAATAGCACATAGCGTCTCCTAGTGAAGTTATTTTCTAGCCATCAGATTTTGTTAAATTTAACCAATTTCTTAGAAGAGCCACGTTTCTGCAAAACTCAAGAAAATCAGCAGGAAAGTAGAGGCACTTCTCAAAAACAAGCAGGAGGCCTTGGAAATAGCAGCCCTGCTTCTAGGGGTTTCATACGTAATTCCATCGCACAGGTAGTCTGTATTGTCAGGATCTGGCAGAGCACAAATGCCATGCTTAGGGGCCTGAGCTGGACACTGAGAATGAGACAGCTCTATCAGCATAGATGCATTTGAAAGGGAAAGTGATACAAGTCCTGGTCTCTACAAAGCTCTTCAGGTCTGTAATTTCTCTCCACTTCAGCGGAATGGCACTGAAACTTCATCTTTCTCTCAGTCCACGCTAAAGCTACTCCAAAGCTTCCTGAAGAAGGTTGCCATTTGCTCTGATGCCAAACTTAGCTCAACAAAGACTCTGAGGAAGGATGCTCTGTATTCTCCAGTCCCTTGGCTGCAGAAGAAATGCTAAGATTGTGCTATTTGGCCTTCAGTCTTGTAGCTTGCTGTATCTATACCTGATGGCCTGCAAAATTATGAACATCCAAATTCACCACGGATGGGAGCTGATGTCTAATTTCTGTAACAGCCTTTTCAGGATTTGCCTTTTCTCTGCTACTGCCTGAAGGGATAGCCAACAGTGTGAAAATAAACCTCAGCAATTTGTGGGTCATAAGAGTGAAACGAAAGTTTGGCACTTAAGTTATTGAGTTATGCCCCGAAGCATTCGTGAGAAGAAAAGAGTAACAGCATAATTTCTTTCTGGATGGTTAGTCAAGAATCATGTTCTTGTCACATCACCAGAAACTTCTTTAGCAGATATTAGTTAGTCTGTAGCTTGATTGTCAGTCAAATCATGGTGACATTAGCTATGTTAGCTGAAAGTTTAACAGTTCTGCTCTGCCACTGTAGCCTCTTTTGCTGAAACTTGTCAGCAGTTATAGAGGAGGTGGGCTGGCAGGTCTGAAGAGTTGTCTCCTCAAAGAGATATTTGTGAATAACCATACTGATGAGTCTGAGCAGTGCTAGTTTATCTCTGGGACTGCATTTCGTGTAGGCAAAATTTGGTATGCCTAGGCTTGTGTCAGAGTAGCCTGGGTACCTGACAACACTGGCATTACATCTGAACTAGAATAATGTCTTCTTGGAGAAAGCTACTTTAATTATTCTGAAATCAGGCCGAGGGAGTTTTTGTCATATATCCATGAGTTTTTTACATTCCAAATGATGAACTCACTGCATCTCTCATCTCATGAGATTGCAGCTTTGCAGGCAAAGTTCTTGACTTCAAGCTAAAATAGCTCATGTTAGTAACTTGGCTGTCCTCCTCTTCTCTTTGGCTATGTGCTTCCCAGGCTTTGCACAGAACTCCAGTATTTTATGCTGCGAACAGAAAGCAACTTGACCTCTGCCAAGGATTAGTGGGTAAGGAAAAATTCCTTTGTATAACTATATAAGTGGCTTTATACAAAATAACATTTTATATGGGATTTTGACTGAGTCAAATTGAGATAGAATAGGTGTACATGCCTATGTTGCTTCACTTAGCATGGTGTGGTTTAAGCAATTGTTAAGGTGGGACAGGCTCAGTAAAAACCTGGAAAGGGTCAGGGTGGAATTTCAAGCGTGACAGTTGTCTCCACAAGCTGAAATTGATGCTCTCTGTGTTGCTTTTGTGCCTGCTGCTGTTGCAGTGAGAAGTTACTGTGTGCACTTAGTGGTCTTTAGTGGTGCTGCTTGACAACTGAGCAGAGACCACAGAAGCAGGAAAATCTGAGACTTCTGCTATCTTCATACCTAAGTGCCGGAGAGAATGCATTCTCTTCTCAGCTTTGAAGTTGAAAAAATCATTTTTATACCATGTTACCTGAGGTAGAAGGATATATATTAGCATCTGCAAAACAGGAAATTAATTTTTATTAAGTGCCATAAGCCCTTAAACACAAGGTACAGCTTTGCCTGGGAGATCCACTGGAAATAATTTTCCTCTTCTGAAAAAGTTAGTATTTTCAAAGAAAAAGGGAAAGGTTTTGTAATAGTGTGTTTGTACAAAAATGTGTAATGCCAGTAAAAAACAGAATGTTTACACTGACAGCTATTTCTTGTTAAATTTGTCATTGGACCAAACAATATCTAAAGGAAAAGATCACGGGAGAACAATTATAAAACAATCACGGTTTAGTTAAATGAAGCACGTGTCTGGCCTAATTTTCTGTGTATTGTTTGTTATAATTTTAAAGACATTAGCACAACAGCTCTTCTTCTAGGATCTTCATGGAGCTCCTGAATTTGGCTGATAGGTCTTGCTTTTCAGCCAACCACATGTGTCCGTTTGTCTTGGCGCAGGGAACTGCTGGTTCCTGGCTGCTCTGCAAGCCCTAACATTCCACCAGGACATCTTAGCTGCAGTCGTGCCACAAAACCAGAGCTTTGAGAGGAAATATGCTGGCATTTTCCACTTCCGGGTATGTTTGATCCACAGGAGCGAGGGAGGTCTTCAGAAATCCCCTGTCATGTTTTATGTCAAATCCTTGGATAATTTCTACAAGGTTTCCCTTGACCAAGGGCAAGCGGCCAGGGGGTATCCTGGCCTGGAAGGCAGCCCATCACTACTTCCACAGAGTAATGCAGGAAGGGGGTGAACCTGTCTGGGAATATGCCTCAGTTTGTCCCTTCTCCCCAGCTGGGCCCTATCCAATATTTTAATCAAGACAAATGTCTTAACACAGCAGCAGCAGTCATAAAGGCCCTGAGTTTTCACTCTGCTCTTGCTGCAGCTCTGCCACCCTGCAATTGGGAACGCCTTCCCCCAAAGCTCAACTGTTCCTCATTTCCCTATTTAATCCCTCCTTTACACCTGACACACTGTTTTCTCCTTTGTCTGGGTAAGGCTGATGAGTTGAAATCTTTGGATGAGTCAGCACCTCCCACTGAGCTAGTACAGTCCGTAACCCAAGGCAGCTCATCCTGAGCCCGCAGCTAAGCAATCCTGCCTTTGCCCTTGCTTTAAAGGGAGGATCCTTCTGAGGAAAATATCAGTTCATTCCTTTCCCCTGACAGTTCTGGCACTTTGGTGAATGGGTTGACGTGGTGGTTGATGATCGCCTGCTTGTGAACGAGGCGGGGGAGCTGGTCTTTGTTTCTTCAGTCTATAAGAATGTGTTCTGGGGAGCCCTTTTGGAGAAGGCGTATGCTAAGTAAGTGACTCATTCTAAGTTATTAAAATAGTCTCTCTGAAACACGTTGGCTTGTGCCTGTGCAGTTTGTACTTGTTTATAAATGCATCTCCTAGGCCTTGCCACATTTGGAGTGTGGTAAATGGTTCTCATCTCTATTTTTAAAGAGTAAAATCTCCCATTGCAGTAGCTCCTGCCAATTCAGGCCCTTGAGTATAAATCCAAAGGTTTAGGATATGAAATGAAAACAAACGTATTCTAGGGGATTATTCCTTAAGTGGTTTCCTTATATGGTTGGCCAAGGTGATAGCTTCTTTGCAAACACTGCAGAGGAATGGAAGGCCAAAGGTAGAGATTTTCAAAGGTGAATGATTGCTGATGCTCCTCTTGGTCTATTAGCAATTTGAGAAACCTCCAAGGAGTTTCATTTTGGGAGTCTGTTGATGAGTTCTACTTTGGTCTTGATAGAAGTTCCTGCTCTGAGATATTACAAAGCCCACAGCTTGTTAAAGCATTCAACAAGTCACATGACATACTGAAAATATTGGCTTCTCTCTTTGGGTTGTTTTGTCTAGGGTGGTTTGTTGGGACTAAGAAGAAGGCAACAAGTCATAACTGATGAGGTTTGTTATTCTTGGGTTAAAATAATCTGAGCTGGGAAAAATAAGCAGAGCAGGAAAAAATCTAGCTAGTACTGGGAAAAAGATCATCCAGAAGGAGAGAAAGCTCAGCTATATTCATTTGGTGGTAGCACTAGAACAAAAAGAGAAAGTTATTCTTCAGTAGTGAAGAAAATCAGATTGGAGGCTGAACTGTTAAGGAGTATCAGATATGGTACAGTGTTTGGTGAGATATTCAGGCAAAATTTGCTAAGGCAGAGTTATCAAAAAAGCAGTGATGAGCATGTTCTCGGTACTGCTTAGTGAGGAGATCAGTAATGAGTGAAGCAGTTTTTTTCAGCCTATGGCCAGTCTTGGACACAATGTGCTAGATTCTCTTCTTTCTACATGCCAAATATTTTCCTAACATTAAACGTGAATTATAGCATACTTAAAAAAAAAAAAAAAAAGTTGATGCCCCTTATTATATGCTTTCATTGGCACGTACTTCTCAACCTATTGTCTGTGGCTATAAATCCAAGAGTATACTCATGTCTTTTTTTGCTAGACTTTATGGCTCCTATGAAGATCTACAGATTGGGCAAGTTTCAGAAGCCTTGGTGGATTTCACAGGTGGTGTTAATATAAGGATCCAGCTTCCAGCAGCTCCTCCTGATCTGTGGGATATCCTGACAAGAGCAACCTACAGCAGATCTCTCATGTGCTGTCAGACACAGTTAGGGGTGAGACTAATGGTTTCACAGCTACAAGTCTTTCCAGTCAAGTTTTCCTTTGCTCAGCTAGAAGCTGTGATTCCTAGAAAGAAAGCTGACATATATGACTTGCTGTAAAAATCATGTTCTTAAGCTTAAAGATTGCACATGGATTTCTTCCCCCCTGCTGCTTTTCAGCTCCCTATTGTGTTTAGGATCTTCCCTATTGTGCTTTATCTATCAAAAAGTCTCTATTGAATAAGGACCTGTCATTTTTCAATTTTTATTAAACAACTATTCCATTTTTACAGATGGTGACTCTCAAAAGCAAACGGAGAATGGTTTGAAAGGGGAAAAAAAAAATTGAGCTCCTAATAGCCACATTTTTCCTAACAGCCATACTTTGCTGTATGTTTGGAATTGGGAGTGATTACCCAAGTTCCCTCATAAATTGTGGATCATTGGCTAGATCCACAGTTCACTCTCACTTCTAAAAAGTCCAAGTTAGGTTTTCATTTCACAATTTGAACTCATGTTCTGAACTACAACCCTCTCCATTTGCTTTTGAGAGTCACTGCTTGCACAGGTGTATGTTTCTGGTATTGGTATAAGCCTGCTGTGTAGGTAGGTTTGAAATAAAAGGCTTATTTTCCTTTTGTTTCTCTTCCCTGTATACAGGCAGCAAAGGTCTTGAAGAATGGACTTGTTGCTGGCCATGCTTACACAGTAACTGGTATTAGAAAGGTAAGAATAGCCCTACTATCCTGGGTCAAGATTTCTTTGGATTTCAGAATTTTTATTGCAAACTTAGGTTAAGCCCTCCATCATGGCAGCTGTGATATCTTCTTAATATTTTCTCTTAGTCTAAGGTTAAAAGAGATGGGACTTGGTAAAGATTCACTTTCAAGTATGTCTGGTTTAGTATGTGACTTTCACAGTGGTCATAGATCAGCATATCTCTAAGAGTGGGAATGAGTCATAGGGCATCACTTACAAACAGCATTTCTGTATGCTGGGAGGATGAGCTGAAGCCTCAGAGTAAAAAGCCTTCTTCTGCAGTCAGAACAGGACCCATAGAGAAGAAAAGGTAATTGAATACAAGGGCCAAAACATGATAAACTGGAAAAGGAGACGGCACGTCTCCTGAGGGAAGGCAACCAAACAGAGCTCCTGTACAGAGTAGCAGATGGACCCCACTGATTTGTATAAGTGTCTTCGGGGATGCCCTAAAGATATCTGCCTAATGGAATTCGACAGTAAAATAATAGATCCTAAGGAATCCAGCACAAGCTTTCTCCTGCTGGATTCATGGCAGACTCCTCTTGTCCAGCTTCAAAAACAGATTGGCAAGGATTTTCTGAGACTTCAGACAGTGGTATGGATATGGGGGAAAGCAGTGTTTAGCATTTCTTCAATAGGTGCTTGGAAAGCTGGAAGAAATGTTATGAGCTGGATGCTGCATGCCTATGTCTCCCAGATAGAGCAGGAAGGTTTTAAGTACAAGCCTTATTGATGTTTGATGTTTGATGTGTCTGTCAGTTTGGCTAGCTGTGCTCGTGGGATGAAGGGACAGGCAGGAGTTAGAGACCAGCTGAGCTTGTTGGTCTGATCTGAAGTCTCCATTCTGCTGTACACTGCCCACGTAACTCCTAGCAAACCTGCCTCCGTCTTCTCCCACCACAGCATTTAAGTTCAAGAGGCAGTGCTCCATATGGCCACCACATAGGCATAATCTCCCATTGCACTGTGATAGGATTTAGCTTCACAGTAGTAGAGTTCTGCTTCCATGAAACCACAAAATGAACAGATGTTGGAAAGGAGGATTGAGCCTCCAAATTAGGAATCTGTGAGGTCTCTGGTTTCACTTAGAAAAGGTAAGATAAAGCATCTTAATTTCTTCATGCTTGCATTCAGAGATGTATGTTTGTAGTTTTTATTATCATGCTTGTTAGCATCTGTGATATGAAAAAGATGACAACTGAGATGTTGGCAAGCATAGTGTTATTGTATGTTCTGCAGGTGACCTGCCAATATGGACCAGAAAACCTAGTGAGACTGAGAAATCCATGGGGGAAAATTGAATGGAACGGAGACTGGAGTGACAGGTGGGTTTGAAAAATGGAAGGTTCGATGCTCAATGTGAGGGAAAGTTTCTTAGAGGAAGGATGCTGCCATCTTCAGACTCAAATTAGGAGCTTTAAGGTATGTAGCTGTTGCTTGCCCAGGCTCTCTGGTTTCAAAACAACGATTTGGGAGATTTATGTTTCTCCAACAGTCAGTGCTTGTGTAGATGGCCTCACTTCACACATGCAGCTTCAATAAGACTTGATTCTGCTTTTCAATTCTTTGAAGTGCCAGAGGAAACATACTTGGAAATCAGATGCTGTGTGTGTTGTTTTGATCTAGACGGCATGTAAAGTGACAGATTATAGCTTAACAATTCAGGAGGCTTTAAACAGGATATTTAAGGGAGATACAGCCCTTTATCACAAGTGAGACCAGGCCAAGACCTCCATGTGCTGTGAAGTGTTGGAGTTGGGTGACTGAAGGAGTCCTTCATCCTGGCTGCTTGGGGAAGCATGTAACTATTGAGGCAAATGGGCCATATATTTAATCTGCCTTGATTTTTTTGATGTGAAAGACAGTAGTTTATATTCCAGACCATAAGCAACTGTAGATTTCTAGCCCGATTCTCTATGAATGAGAGTGTGTTCCTTCTGTCCCAACTTCTTTTTTTTTTCATTTGCTGCACAGGCCCCATTTGCTGAGGCTTGGGGATGGGGAAGGGGGAGATGAGCACAGAGAGGTGTTGGGAATATGAGTGACTTTCACCTTGTCTGCGGAGCAGTACTTTCTCTGCATGTCTGCCACATAATGACAACATAACAGCTGTTGCTGGTATGAGAGTATAATGAACAGCATACCATAGGCTTGCCTTTTAAATTACTCCCAGCTGTCTTTTTTTGCTGTCCCTTTCATTTGTTATGCCAAGCACTCTTCCTATTATGTCTCTTTTGACAGAAAATTAATCAGCAACACAGGTCTAGATATTTTTATCTTAACTATTAGGAATCTGTGTGTGCAAGTGAATGGGCCAGCTGATGGAAGTGGAGCCCTTCTACTGGAGAGAACTGGAGCTGTTTAGCTATCTCATACCCTGCATACTTGTGCAGAGTCTGAAATGGCTAAAATCAGGGGGGGCCTGTGTTCAGCAAGGGTTAAACATGGAGATCTGTGGGGACAAGGGTTTTGGCATCCTTTTATAGAGGAGACCTATGTTTTCTGTATTGAATTTCAGGCTGCATTTGCTTAGTCACTCCATACTTTTTGCCCTCAGCTCTTACAAGTGGGAGTTGCTGAGCCCAAAGGAGAAAATTTTGCTGAGGAAAAAGAAGGAAGATGGAGAGTTCTGGTAACAGCTCTGTCTTGCCTATCCTCTCTCTGATGGTAGCTCTGGGGCTGTGTCTGCAGACAAAGCAGTACTTTGTTTTCTCCTTATGCCAGCTAATTTATGGTATATGTGACCTGTTTTCTAACAGACCTGGCTTGCTTGCTCTCCATCTCTGCTTGATTATGTGAGAGGCAGTGCTCTTCTTAAAAAAGGCAGGAGTGAGGGAGAAGTGGGGCACTGCCAGATCTCCTAGGGCTGCTGGGAGACACGGCAACTTTCAAGAGCTGTTGTCTTACCTCTTGTTTTTAAGGTAACTTTAAGAAGCTCCTGCTTGTTTTGCTTGTCGTTTCTCTACAGCTTGTGCCACGAGGTGGCAATGTTGTCACTCGTGTAATTTCACTGCGGTCCCTTCGGTGGCAACATTACTTCAATCTCTGCCGCTGTCTTTTGCAGAAACTTGAGTCGTGAGTTTGCTACTGATAGATGCTGCTGTTGGAGCAGATGCTTGCTTCTTTACTACATAATAAAATTTGAGCATTACCATATGTAACACAGAATGGCGTGGCTTTGAAGTTCCCCGCTCCCTTTCCTTTTCTTTTAGTGAGCCATATGGACTAAACTAAACTGCTGACAAGATGTCTTTTGGCACTCTTTTTCCCAGGATGTCTCTGCAAGATTTTAAGATTCATTTTGTAGACGTTGTGATCTGTAAATTAACTCCAGACCTGGTGAGCCAGGAAGATGGGAAAAAGTGGATGTATTCCCTGAAGAATGGGAGATGGGTTAAAGGAAGCACAGCAGGAGGAAGTCTGGGATTCTCCAAGGGTGAGGGGTGCTTAGCACTCTTTTGGGTGCTCTGTGGTATGACTCTTCTTTGTTGACTTGATTATTAGCACCCTTATACTCCTTAACACAAATGTGACAACAGAACGTTCTCTTATTTCTTAACTCACCACAGAAATCACTCACATCAGAAATAAGCAGCAATAAGATCATTGTCTAGTTTCTGCCATCACAGAAGCTGCATTACTTGCAGACATAGGGCAGAAGGCTGGTTATGATATGAAATAAGCTGCAGGAGTCTTAGGATCAGTTGCCAGTCGGCTTCTTCAGAGCATTAGATTTGTCTGTTAAAATTAACTCTTTGGAGATCATGAGGATGCAGTATTTTAAGTAAAGTGATTAGGAGACACAGAGGCTCAGAAGCCTTCTGGAAGCAGGTTAGGTGGGTTCTGAAGTCAGTTATCCCATATATAGTACATGATAGAGAAATAATCATACATTTATAAACAAAATAAATTTTAACAGCAGTTGGGCAGAAATGAAGCTCCTTGTTCTTGAGCTTTCCTTCAGTCTTATAGGGATTTTACCACTAAACTTGTAAATTGCACCCTAAGATCAAATCCCAGTGAATTCTGGAGGCCCAGACAACTTGGGATTCATTCAGTCTGAGCCCAGGCATCAAATGGGAAGCTAGGAATCCAATCTTGAGATGGAAAATAATGTCTAAGTGTTTTTCTTTTTTACTTCTTAGGCATGTTTTGGATGAACCCCCAGTACTGGTTGAATATTTTAGCCAGTGAAGACAGTAAGAGAAACCTGGGTTCCTGCAGTGTGGTTATATCCCTGATGCAGAAACACAGCAGCAAACACCGGAACCGAGCTCCTCACCTCTTCATTGGCTTTTCACTCTACAAGGTGTGAAATATAGCAGGTTCCCTATATATCCAGGAATAAATGGCTGTCACTAGGAAGAGTGAGAGCTTCCCCAACCAATTCTCTGGTTATCTGAGGGTCTTGCAGAACTCCCCTCTTACTTTGAATGGAGCTAGAGCTTTTGTTGCTACTATGAGGTTGAAGTTATTGACAGATGACCATGAGGAAAGACTGAGGTTTCTAAGGGCAAAGGCCCCAGCTGCACCTGCATTGCTGCTCCCCACCACAGATACAGCCTTGTTGTGTGTGTGACTAAGAGGTCCCTGTCTGATATGTCCTCTATTTCTTTTCTCCTTGCAGGTGGCCCTACAGGTGAGTGCTTTGTCACCACTACTGGATGTTTGCTGAGAGATCTGTTCTGACAGCATTGAAGGTGTTGTGATAGCCTTTGCTTTTTTAGCTGACAGCTAATGGCAGTATGTTCAAGCTCACTGGGTCATTACAGTAAGTCACTATTAATGCAGAACTATCAACCTACTCTTTTGAAGAGTAGCCATGTCAGGAGGTCTCAGCGATCTTGAAAAGGGTCATTAATTGCTTAGCATCTGCACTAGGTCTTTGAAGGTGTTGAAAGTGGCATCAGTGTTTATTGGATCAGCAGTATCCCTCCCACCATTTTGGGATGTTATTCCAGTCCTTAGCTGTGTTTGAGCTCCTCTCAGAGGAGCTAGTATCACCTTTTTGCTGCTTCCCAGTCTTGAGGCAGGAACTGAGCCTGTGTCCCACGTAGGCCAGGGATCTTGTAGGGTAGTTCAGCTTCCTTCTTGCCTGAGGATGCTCTGGAGCTGACACTGCCGGTGTTTGCTATTTGTCCTGCTGTATTTCCCGTATTTTCTCTTAAAAGTATCTTTTTTATCTAAGAAAAAGTTCTGGAAGGTAAACTCTGTTGCATGTCCCAGTTTTTAAACAAATCTCAGAGGATTATTCAAAACAGGGAAAGGCTTAGTGTCTTTTATTTTGAAAGGGCACACTTTCCCCTAAATTACTACTCAAAACACCACTTAAGTTATAATTTCTTTGAATTTTGAGCTGGCAAAGGACTAGTTGGGCTACGATCAGAACAGTGCAGTTGTATTCCAAGTTACTCTATTTCCAGCATGGTAATCACAAGGTAAGAATCCACTCCTTTCTGACTTAAATGTTTTGGGCACTCTCAGGGTTACAAGTGAATTAAATTTCCTGGCAGAGGGAGCCTGAGCATAGCCCTAGCATGCTGCTTTGCTGTACCCAGGGGGAGCTGGTGGCAGCCAGGTGTTTAATTTCAAATTTGTAGTGGTTGCCAAGATCAATATAGAGAGACTGCAAACTGAGAGCATCTAAGGACGCTCCAAGGAACATTGTGAATTCTGGAGCACATCTGAAATGCTTGTATACCAGTGGATGCTTCAGTCCTTTCCCAGGGCTATGATATGGTTGATATCAGCAAGACTTGGTGGGCTGAGTCCCACATCTCAAGTGCTGCTCTTCAGTAGGGTAGGCAAGGCAGGAGAGGTGGTGATGTTACTCTGTATGTAAGGGAGAGATCAGGCATACAGCCCATGCATTTCGGGATGACATGGTAGAGAGTCTCTGGGTGAGGATGAAGGGGATGGATGGCAAAGCCACTATCATTGTGGATGTCCACTACTGTACACCCACCCAAGGTGTTCTATTGACAAGTAGGGGAAATCTTGGAATCAATTGCCCTTGTCCTTATGGGAGACTTGAACTTCTCAGATGTAAACTGAGACTATTGTGACCAGCAAGTCTGGGAACTTCCTGAGAACATGTTGAAAATAAGTTCTTGTTACAAGTTATGAGTGAGACATCTAGGAAAGGTGCCCTGTGAAATCCGTTGCTTGAGAAAAGGGAAGGCCTTTTAGGAGAGGTGACAGTAGGTGGCTGTCTTGGCCACAGTGACTGTGCATTAGTTGAGTTCAGAATTGTAGGTACTGGTCAAAGAAGAGGAATGGCATCTGCATTACTAGGTGGGGAGTAAAATGGCTAAATGTAAAGAACAGCCAAGACTGGAAGGTGACAGTGGTCTTTGCTGGTGGGGATATTTATTTGGCATTCCACTAGGCCCCCAGTGTTATTAATCTCATTTATAATGTTGCCTAGATAAACACTTATCCATCCTTCTTTTGTAGAAAAGTGCCTGTGGAGTGAAACGTCTGCAAGAGCCAGGAATGACAAGTAGTTCGTTGACACAGGCTAGGGATTAAGTTGCTCTTGCACTACATTCAGATCCCAGGTGCTCTGCTACTAGATACCTAGTGCAAAGAACAAACTGAGGACAGAGTGCATGGTACTTATGAGATAAGGGGAGCGCTCTGGATTGTGAGGAGCAGTCTTTAGAGCATTTCCTGCCTGCAGTCTTTTCTGCCAGTATGCAAATTACTTCAGCAGTAACTTAAAGTGGCAGAAGCCACATCTTTTCCCAGTCCTTGCTCTGTTCCTTGCAAGTAGTATTATAATGTTGATAAGGTTGTAGGAAGCACCATTCTTCGTCACTTTAATATTGGGCAGATTGGATGTAGAGTCTTATGGACCATCTTAGCTGCTTTTGCTATAGAGATCTGAAGGCAAGCAACCTCTGTGCCATGAATTTCCTGTGTGTCGTTTGTTCCATTGTTCAGCTGGTGCAGAACACATTTATTCTGTATTTCTTCCCTAGCAAGAGGAAATCAATCAAAAGCTGCCTCCAGCATTCTTCACCCGGCACCAGCCTGTGAACAAGCGCCAGGTCTTCCTTGATGAACGGGAAGTGACTTGTGACTTCCACCTGGAGCCTGGTGTCTATGTGATTGTGCCATCCACTCTGGAGCCTCAGCAGGAGTCTGAATTCATTCTACGTGTCTTTTCCAGGAAGCACATCCTTCGGTGAGATGCTGCGGCCCCTCTGTCAGCACCCAGTTCTCTTGCATGGTGGGACAATCTGGACTTTCTAGTTTAGTGGGGCCTCATAAGAACTGAAGCATGCAGCACACTACCTCTTGGAGAGCCTGATTCTCTCCCAGCTCAGGATGCTCAGTGTCTGAAGTATTGCTTTTTGGTCTTGTCCTTTTGAGAAGCATTGAGCTAGGCCCACAGAAATGATTCTTAAAGCATGCTTATGTTTAAGACTGGAGAAGCACTTAAATGTAGTTTTGCCAGGGGTCTCTGCTCATAGTGGTGGAGGTGTTATATCATGCTTTGGAGACTTTGAATGCCAATAGCCACTGGAGAGCCATATAGACATGGTGGGTTTACCCTAGTGCAGCTGTAACGCTGGGGAAAATACATATGGCACAGCAGTGGCATGGGAGTCTCTACCTGGGGGTGGGGGATGTCACTTGTGATCAAGACAGACAACTCTGCAGTATCTCCCTAATGTTTTCTCTTTCACATCCGCAGGGAAATGGGTGGGAACACCAGTTTCATCCTCTCCAAGGTGAGTGGATATAGGGGGAGTGGAAGGCCCATGGTTTCAGCTCTTGGATGTTAGTTTTTTCCTGTCACTCTGAACTATGAAAAGGGAGAATGAGAATGCGAGTGTTCATGCTGCAGCACTTCACAAATTGTAGCTTGGGTTTACAGGCAGATTCTTGGACCTTGTGAACAATCAAGGCAAATTTTTAGACACCATTTTAGTTACTGTTTCACAGCTGTTCTTTTTTCTTTCACTGACACAATCTTACTCTGCAGTCTTTCCTGTTCACAGCTTTTAGAAAACTTCATGTATTCCTCCCCACTTCTTTCAGGCCTTGACAGGCTTGAAGATGCTGTGGGGTCAGAATGTGATTCCCCTATCACAATACAGTGATCCATAGGTTGTTTTAAGAAGAGCGAGGCTCAGTGGCCATATATGTGTGACTGTATCTTGTGCAGGGAGGCTTTATAGCGTAGTCCATTCCCTTGGCATAAACAGGGCCATTCCTTCTTTTGTCCCTTCCATTCTCCTAAATGTATATACTATCTCTTTGGCATGGATTGAACCCTATCCTTTTTCTTCTTTCACAGCTTGGAGTGGAAGAGAAATGTTTTTCTACACTGAGTGTTATCTGAAATTTTATTTCCAAGAGTTACTGTTTTTATGGGGTAGGGAGCTATCTAAGCAGTGAGTTGCATTAGTGATGCAAGACTGATGGCAGTGGTGAGGGGAAGATGGGAGGACATGAAAGGAGAGCAGAGCTCAGGAAAAGCATCTTCAAATAAGTGTATGGTGAATGGCCACATTTTTCTTCCTTAAGCATTTTTATTTAATTAATTTATTTTATTTAATATCCTGAAGGAAATTGTTGATAGGTATGAAGGCAAGATCTGGGAGGACTTCTTCACAAAACATTTTGAACAGGTAGGTGTGTGCATGCGCCACCAGGGGAAGCAGAGTTATTATGTAGTTCTGTGATAGCAAAAACATCTAACTCTGCAAGGGATGTTTGGATATAGAAGCATGGGGGACAGAGAGAGGCTGTGAGAGGCTGGGCTATGTGTACAGTGCTGATTTCGTGCAGCAGTTTTGAATACAAAGCTTTAGAAATATGTTAACACTGAGAAAGGTAAATTCCTGGAACTTACTGCTATGGGACATTGTGGATGTGACAGTATCAACATGTTCAAAAGGCATTAGCAAACTGATGGAAAGCAGATCCATAAACAGATACTAAAGGACTAAGCATGTATGTACCCTTTAACATCTTTATTTCAACAGCCATGGGTGCCAGGGAAATGAGAATAGAGTGTGGATGCTGATCAGACTCACATGCTCTCCTTAAGCATAAACTCCTGTCCCCAGTATCAGGGACAGAACAGTGGGATGCATTAACCAATCCTATTCTATTGGGAATTTCTGCTCTCACTGGGGCAAGTCAGCTGTTAGAAGACAACATGCCCTGAGAAACTTGAGACTTGTCTCCTACTCATTCATCCCACGTTGATAGCAGCTACCTTGCTTTTAGAGCTGAAATACAGTTCTCCTTTCAGAGGGGTGGCTGCATTTGTTCGGTAGCATACCCTGCATTTAGCAAGCACATTTTCTCCAAAACATATTAGCATTTCTGTTAGCAATATTTTGACAGAAGCTTGTCCTAACAAGAAGCAAATGCTTTTGCTTCTTGAACGTGTAGAATTTTGATTCTGAGAGTGGTGTGGCTTTCAGATGTGCCCTGAGAACTTAACCAGGAGCAGACTGCAGCTCCTGCAGGCTGAGAATCTTGTCGTATTCAAAGGAAGCCTTTCCTATTGATTTTCACAGTGACGGGAGTGGGGCCAGAAAATTGGGAATTAAGATGAGACATGCTGGGAAGACAAAAGAGGGAGAAAAGAGATTTAATGATTAAAGTAATTCTCCTTTGTATCACAGAATCCTGAAATAAATGCTGTTCAGCTCCAGAGGATCCTGAATAATGTATCTTGGAGACGTAAGTGCTGAGAAATAATTTTTCTGTGAAACAAACCTTTCTAGAGAAAGTCTTCAGCTCCGATATCTGAAAATGAAGATATTGTGAGCAGATTCAAACTCTGAATCTGATCTCCAAACCCAACATGACCTCAGCATTGATTCTGAAACCATGTCTCATTTCATCCTGTGCTACTGCCACAGTGTTGGCAATGCCTCTGCTAGAAAGTGAGCCTGGTCTGTAGGCAGCCGTGCAGTGCAAGGGAATTTATCTTGATGGCTGTGGTTCATATCTGCTGTTCCTATGCTTGCTTACTTTTTTTGTGTGCACAGGACTGTTCCTTGCTTTGTCTTAGTGTTTGGGAGACAGGTAGCCTGTCTTACTCATGTTTGGGACTGTCTTTGTCCTGAGGTCTGTGACACCTGCTCTGTGCCGGTAGCTGTTCAGCAGTGGCTGCTTCCCCTGAGCAACAGTAATGGTGTTACAGATACAGTGATGGATCCAGTTTCCTTTCCCCATTTCTTCAGTGGTATCAACCCATGCACAACACAAAAATACACCATTCAGTCATTATGGGCAACAAGATGAATAAGAGACTGATGTGGTGATAATTTCACTTAGATCTGCCCTCTTTTCTGCAGAGGTGTACTAAGATAGCTCTCTGTCTTGGCAGAGTGACCCATCAGGCCCTGTCTTATCTGTGAGAAGACTGTGTTGAACGGTCTATTTTTTGTGTGTGATCAAGGTTAAGACATGAAAAATGTTACATTACTTAATTCATATTTAATAAACAGGGCTATTAACAAGATTAAAACATCTTCACTTTCTGCAGAGAAGGCACTGGTGAGTTATGGTTCTGTCTCTTGCTCCGTGGAAGTCTGCATATGATCTAAAGTCACAATTTGGAGTGAGATTAGAGTCTCTTTCTGCTATTCTTCATTTAATTTATGTATGAACCAGGAATGCTAAGCTTGGATGCAACATCATGTTTTTTGGTGATGTCTGTACTTTTAATCATATTAACAGAGCTGGCAGTGCCTCTGCGAGAGAGGGAAGAAAGGATGCTTAGCATGAGGCAGGGAAAGCAAGAGAGAGATGTTTAGTGCAAGGGCTTCAATTAATGTGCAGTACAACTCCCCAGAGCTCTTCAGGTCAAGTGACTTTGCTCGTGATCCTGCAGTTTGGCATTACAGGTTTGGAAGTCCTTTCCTTCCATTTTCTTTAATAGCTGGAGACAGTGTGCTATGTTTTACTCTGTATTACATGCCTGCAGGGAGCTCATGTTGGGTTTTGTGAGACTAGCAGAATCCATCCTGCTGCATCATATTTTAATCATCATAAATGATGCGTTTTCTCAAGCGGCTGAAAAGTTACACAAGGGCTTTGGGGCCCGAGCCATCTCAAATGAGAACAAATTCTGTCAGAGTCCATTTTTCTTAGTGATATTCAATGTGCTCTCAAAATAGTCTTTTTTTTTATCCTCTCCAGATTTTTGGAGTTTTCACCTGAATTTCAGTCTGGACGCCTGCCAGAGTATCCTGGCACTCCTGGATGTATCCTCCTTAGCGTGAATGATGCTTCTGGCTCATTTAATACTTCACCGGAGCATTATTTCTTAGGGCAGATTGAGTGTCACTTTGGTTTCTTAATGACTGGAACATGGCCGTGCTTTTCGAACTTCTCAGCTTCCATAATAACACTTCCATTGTAGCAGAATGGGATGGGTTTGAGAAAGGGTTGTTTCCTCCAGCTTCTGATATCAGCAGCCAGGCTTCCATTGATTTTAGGGGGAGGAGAATCAAGTCTATGAGCTAAGGTTTGTTGGTTAAGAAGTCGTTATCTTCTTCACATTAAAACTGTGTGAATATTACAGTGGCTATGAATTTTCAGTCAGTATTTTTTTTCTTATTTTGTATTATTATTTGTACTTAGTTTTATGTAATGTACATTCTCTCATGTTTAAGATATTCTGACCTTAATTATTCCATGAAGCTGAATGCCACTGGCACGCTGAGTATCCAGGAGTTCCGAGTCCTGTGGAAAAGGCTGCTTTTCTACATGGTATAGCAATCATTTCTGTGTACCACTGCAATATTCTTCTACTCACAGTGCTTTTGTTGTCCTCTGCTGTTGTTTAATTATTTGGCTTTTGTTTGCTTGTTTCCACCAGGAAGTTTTCCAGAAAAGAGACACTAACAGATCAGGAAAGCTAGACCTGGTAGAACTGCGTGCAGCTGTACAGGAGACAGGTGCGTGCCACAGCACATCTTGGTGAGGCTCATCCTCTTCCTCAAAAAGGGAAAAATTTGAACAGGAAAAAATCTTGACTTGTTGGCAGAGCCCGGAGAGAGTGGGAATTATCACAGGCTGCATGGTATTAGCCATCTCTGCTTTCCTTTTTAGCTAGGTAAAAATATCTGAGAAGTATTTTGCTGTGTGGTAGACTGCTTAATCTTTGCCTTTATCTTTGGTATTGTACTGATGACAGTCTGGGACTTCCACAGAGGCAATACCAGTGCCAGGCTTCACTAATACATCATCTTGAGCTTAAAATAGAAATGAAGAACATACACAAAGGTCCAAATACCTGGACCAAGGTCTGTTGTGCTCACCATACTTTGAGTAAGGGTTGGTGCTCAGTCTTTTACCTCCTTTTGCAGTTTTAGAGCTTAAATGTCACTCATCTTTTTGATGTGTGGTTCACCCTGTTCATCTGTGTTAAGAAAAGCACAGTTAGAAACCCATGCAGACCTCTACTAAAGCAAATTAAACTACCAGGCCATGAGTAGGAAATACTCCTAGCAAATTGCCTGCAAATGTTGCTTGACATGCTTTCTTTATCGGCTTCCTCTGGATTTTCTTTGTCGTTTCCTCTCCTACCCTCCTAAACACAGCTGCTGTTACTGCCTTCCATTCACTCATGAGTGAATGATGCCCGTTTGTGTTTTATTACAGCTCTAACAGGAACAGGAGTATAGGTGACCAGATTTGACCCCTTTAGAGTTTGAAAGAGCTGTCTGCACCTGAGGGGCTGGTTTGGGCTCGTTAACACTTGACAAACGTAGGGGAGGTTTGAAAAAGCAAATGACTGGGAAAGGGACTGAGATCAATGAGTCATGTAGACACAGAAGCATATACATTTAGCTGCCCACAACTGGGAGTTGCCCTCTCATAATGTTTTTCATGTTTTTATTTTTTTTCCCCCTCTCCTGAAGGCATTTCACTCAGCAATGAAGTCTGTAATTTGATGGCAATCAGATATGGTGACCCTGACTTGAAGATCAGTTTTGAGAGCTTCATGTGTTTCATGCTTCGAGTAGAGATCATGGGAGGTGAGGCTCATGCTATGCAACTGGCCAGGGAAAGCTCTGCTGCCCAACTAAGCGCTGGCCCTTCCAAGACTGTTCTAGCTGGCAGTAGCTAAGTGAAAACAGAAGGGTTGGGTTTCTTCTCAGAATACACAAAGGAATTTGTTTAAAGCAAGGGACAGAGGAAATTGAGCTCTATATCTGTACCTTTTTGCCAGTCTTTTTCTACAGAAATCAAGACTGTACGTATCAGAGTGATTTAGCTCCCTGCAGAGAGCAGCTCTGCACCAGTCTCTGTAGGAGGCAGGAAAATTACAATTGGAAGCTGCTTATTTTCCATATACCTTTGGTTGGACTAATTGTGGTGGTGAGACAGGTGATACTTTGGTCTGTGAGTTCATGCTGCGGACACCTCCCACGTGTCTGAAACTGGAGCTTGTGAGGCTTGGGACATCATGCTTTTGGAGACACAATAGCAGCAGAAGACAAGTAGATGGACAGAAAGTAATGTGCCTGTCTTTATTCAGGATTCCTGGTGTTCCAGTGCTCAGGGATCTTCCAGTGAGAATGGGGGCTTACATGCATTTGTGAATAGATTATAAACTCCTTCTTTTCAAGTCTTTCGTAGGACAAGGGGTCACAAGGTAGTGCTGATCTCTTGGCTGTCAGGTTAACACTCCTCACTTCCTTTTTTCACAGAGGCCTTTCGCAACTTAACACAAGATGGTAAAGGGATATACCTGCGGGAATCTGAGGTAAAGCCTTTCCTGACTGACAAATGCAGCTTCTTTTATTGCAAGCAGCACTGTATGGTTTGTTCTCCAGCCTTAAAAAAGGTATCTCTATCTGATCACTTAAAGAGTAGGTTAGAAACAAAAAGGAACACAGGCTCTTAAGTCCTGTGCCTCCATGTGGCTTCTACTCCTTCTACAGACAAAAAAAAAAAAAATCTCCAATATTCTGTAGTTTGGTTCAGTTCTGGATATCACAGGGCACTCTTAGGAATGGGTGAGTTTATCCTACTTTCCTCATTATTTTACAGTGGATGATGATGACACTGTATTCCTGAAGGAGTTCTGCAAAGGAGGGGACAGCAAGACCTGTACTGCAATAGGAAAGGCTACTTTCTATCAACTTGCTGTGTACGTTGGAGTCTGGGCTCTTCTCTGCAGTTTACTTCATAAGCAGTCTTCCCCTCAAGCAGACTTGACCTACTGACCACAGACCTGTTGCACTGATATTTTTGTAATGAATACGTTTATTTGAGTCCTATTGCACTTCAGACAACCCTTCTGAGAAGAGACTGCTGGATGCCAACTGCTATGGGTGCACCATGGAGCATAGAGGCTGAGTTGTTGGAATCACCTATTTAATGCTAATGTTACTGTGTTACTATTATAATTTGACATGTGCTGTGGCAGTATCCAAAGGCTGTGCTTGATGATGCAGCTTTGTTGGGGCATGTAACTCTGAATCTAGGAGAGAAACAGCCCCTGCCTGAACTGTCTTGTCATTTAATAGAGAAAATCCATATTCTGTAGTTGCTTGACCCATGATAGAGAGCTGGAGTCTGTGTGCTTGTCAGGGCAAGGGGTTGGGGAACTCTTCCTTGGCCATGACTTGGAAAGATCATTTGCAAGCATTCAAACCATCTCTTTTGCTTTCATGCATCAGCATAGCTCTATTGAAGTGAACCTAAGGTGATCTGACCAGTTTGTGGATCAAGCCTCCAGCTCTTAGTTGAGATGGAGCTTGTGATGTTTGCAGATTTAGTTAAGAGCAGGGGGTTATCTCCACGAGTTGGAAAGCACAATACAGTGAGAAATAAATGAATCCAATGTTATCTTTAAATCACTGGAGACTGGCGGGGAATAGATGTTCACTGTAGCATAATACAGACAGGAGCAGTCTGGCAAACAGACTGGTAAACCATTTGGGTGTTTGTTGGTTCTTTTTGTGAAGCAGAATGAGATAGTGTTTATGTGTGAGTTGTTAACTGATTCAGGCACGTACAGGCTGTAGTGTTAGAGAACACACTTGAGGCTATTCCCACCAGACTCTGTGTTGAAGTTAGTTGATGCATCTCTCTGTAGGACCCTTCTTCATTTTCTTACTATTTATTTATTTGGCCTGGAAATTTCCACAGTAAGTGCCTGTTACAGGTTGCTGCTTTGGCTTTTGCATTCCAACGGACAGCGCAATTGTTCTTTCACTTGTGCACAGTCTCCTTAGACCACTGAATGCAACAGGGTTCTAAGCAGGAATTATTATATAATGGAAGAAGATACTGTAGTGCCTTTGTGGGAAGGAGTTGTAACAAGTTTGCATAGGCTTATGCCTATACATGAACCTGAGCTCAGGGATGTGCTTCCTACTGCACTGAAGCCTGTGCAACAAGCGTATTTAGAGAGAAACTCCATTGTCTATGTGTTCCAAATCAGGAGGCATTAAACAGCACAAACAACAGTGTGCTCTTTATTCGCCAGAACAACCTGTTCCTAAGAGTATTATTTTCATGCTCTTTTTATGAGAAAACTGTTAGAACCAGATAAATAGCTGTATTTTTCGCTGTTTATAACATGGCATATTTACCACTTATTGTGCTGTGTTATTGTCTGTCACTGGAGCCCAAGGGTTCAGAACTGTGGGGCATAACAAGTCAGAAGGAGCAGGGACATCCAGGATCCTTGAGCACATGTCATGGTGCTATCATCTTGCTGGGCTCGCAAAGAGGCTATTACATTACAAAGCAATGCCCTTTCCCAGTTGCCATGCCTCTGTTCCCTTTTGTGACTTGCAGCTGAACACAATGGAGCAAACTAAATAAGCCTGATTTAATTTGCACTCAGCTCAGTGGGTGATGTTATAAACACTGATTTACTACATGTAGGAACAGCACTAGAAGAACCAAAAAGGTTGTAGGAGAGAACATAGGTCTTGCTCTATCAGCGTGCTCTGAAGGAGATGAACCCAATGAGGGTGGCCCTAGGCTGACATGAGTGTCAGCGTGCAGAGTTCTCAGCAGTGCTCTGCTGGACATGATGAGAAGTAAATCTGTCAGTCCCAACTGGGTTTGCAACACAGTGCTTGTTGTCAGTGCTGCAGGAAGCATTCGAGGCCAGAAGGATGCTGGACAAAGCTTCAGTAGCCACTGCCCCCAGCCTTGTGCAGAACTGTGGTGCAGGACACCCAGTTTCACGTGACAGTTCATTTCAATTCTGTACACATTGTTTTCTATATATATATATATTTATATATAAGATTTTGTACTTATTTGCTTCATACCTATTCAATGCAGAGCAAGGAGATTATTTTGCTATTGATTACTTGATCCGGGAAAGAAGCAGAATTTGTGCCATGCCATGAATCACTAAGCACTTGCAGCAATAAACTTTATTGAGCCACGTGACTTGCTGTTACAGAATTATAAAGAATGCTTTACTGGAATGATTATACCAAACCCTGTACAATTCAAACTGAATTATCTGGCTCACAATAAAAATGTTTTTGGCAATGGCACCTACTCAGACACTGTGAGGCTTTTATATTGCTAACAGAGTAACGTTTGCTGGGCAATTCTGAAGATATATTACTCTTCATTTACAATGTGCGTTGTAGGAAAGAGTGGTTTAAAAGGCTGCTGAAGGATGCATTCGTTTGTAACCACTGTATTTATAGAGATGCTGAGCTATGCAGTGGGTGGCATTGCTCGAGCAAAAATAGAAGAAAAGTGAGGCTGGTATTGCTAATAGAGGCTTTTTTGGAGGGAAAGACAGGCGCAAGTAACAGGAATAGCAAACAATGGCTGAAATGCGAAGAGGAGCTGAATAACAAGGCATGCTGCAACAGTAAGACTGATGTGAAATTGAAAAGAACTCTGCAGACAAAATACTCGGAGCAGGATACACACTGCTGCACACAGCAGAGGTTTCCTGGATGAACTTGGTGCAGCTGGGGCAGGGGCTGGTCATCCTCACTGTGCATGTCCTGCATTTTTAGGACTTCTCTCCAGATGAGAACAAGCTCTAATCTCAAGCCTAACAAGATTTAAAACAGGTGAACGCTGAGAGCTGTGTGACGAGCCTGGCTGGAGTCACTGTAAAATGTGGTCTCAGTGGAAAGCTGTGGCAGAGACCTGACATTTGACTTCAGGGAAAAGAGAGACCATCCTGAATCAAAGCCACTGCCACATCCAAGTGTTCACCTCCTGCACCTTTACTAGGAAGCTGAAGTAATGTAATAGGATTCCAAGTCCTAAACACAAGGTCTTTTATCTCTCTGTGAGCTTTTCAGGCTGCTTCTAGGCTTTCCATCCAAGCAGGTAAGGCTGGAAGACTCTTCTCACTCCTGTAGAAGAGGGGTGAAAGGCCCTTGCAAGTATGATGCTTACATCCTGACTCAGGACACGAATGATGTGCTATGATACCCTTTGTTCTATTTAAATTGCTATGGTTCTTCCCATAGCCACCCTCTTCCCATACCCACACGCCCCATGACAACTTGATTCTATGATTCTATGAACTTCCTCAAAAATAGTTGAAATATTGTACTGAGAAAGAGAAAAATATATATATATATATTTTTTTTTTTCCTCTGGTCCTCACGAAACGAAATGCTGATGATTGCCTTTGCCTTTCCTTCCTGCTGTGTCTTACACTGGATTAGACCTGAAAAGCCGTATCACCAAGCTTGAAGTTCAATTTATCAGTGCAGTCAGGATTGATTTGTTACACTACCTATTCTGGGGAAACAAATGTCTCCATCGCCCTCCATTCCAATCCGGGCAGACCTTTGTTTTGCTCAGATCAGCTGTATAATGTAGGAAGCTGATGTTCCATAGATAAAGGCAAAAAGCCTTGCAGAATCCTGACTAATCCTACCCAGCCTGGCAGTGCCAGAGACTGGTGCTGCTTGCAAAGTTCTCCCTTGTCATGCTGGTGGCTGCAGATATTGGGCAGGATGAATGCTCTTTGCCTGCACTTGTCCCCTGTTTTGTTGTTGTTGTTGAACAAGTAGCAGAAAGTCATAGACAATGATTCTTGGGTGAATTACGTGTCCCTTTCATCACTAATAATGCTGTAACCAGACAGTCAGTTTTGTCCTTAGAGCCCAATTTCATAGCCAGAGTCACAGCGAAGACAGTTGGTTTTTGTACAAATTTTCAGCTGCTTTGTGAGACAATGGAAACAGACTTTGCTGCTGCTATTGAGGTTAATAAGTTTTTCAACAGGAATTTGCACCTGTAATCTAGCACAGGAACTCTCAATTAAAAGAGCATGCAGTTAAAAAGTCACTTTTTTCCCCAGACTCGCTGGGATGGAATATTTGGAGCTAATCAGGTAGAAGTGTGAGAATTACATTTTCAGGTTCAAAAGACCCAGAAGGTGATCAATAGGGAGAGTCGTGTTCGAGCTGGACCTCGTTTTTTCTTTTCATATGTTATGTTTGTGTCACGTTGAGGAAGGGTTAATGCTGAGCAGTCCTGCAGATGTGCTGTGAGAACAGCAGTGTCTACTGCTGGTGCTCATTCTGTGAGATAAAATGAAAGAAGTCATTGCTCTGAAGGAGCTTTATTTCCTCAGGTAAAAGCAGGATTTCTTTCTCATAAATATGCTGCAGCTAGACACGAAGCACTCACTGCCTGAAAGCAGCTCTGCTTTCAGCAGCTGAAGCTCACAGGTAAGAACTGGGGCCTCTGCAGCCCTGGCTTGGGTGCTGGCAGCTTTGAAGCTGCTTGTTGTCTGGGCTGAGGCTGTGAAAGACTCTTAGCTCTGAATTTGTTTGGGGAACAAAGCTGTGTTTGGGTTAGGCTCCTTACCAGCCTCCCTCTTCCTGCTGCTGCCTTCTAAACCAAAGTGCAATCTAGGAATTCAGCTCTCAGAATCAAAGGGCTGCAGCACTTTGGGTGTGAGATTTTACGTTGTCCCCTTCTCTGTAACCTGACAAAATATATTGTCATGAAGTTTCTTTTAAAAGGAAAAAGAGAACAAGCTCAAAGTTGCACGCTTCCTACCTGAAGTAACCCTGAGCATGTCGGGAGCAGCGTGACCTGAGAACTTCCCCATTCCTGAGCATTGCTGACAACTCGATTTCTAATCAGGCTGCCTTTCTGCCCCCTGGCAGGGCACAACGCAGAAGTAAGGCTGGATCAGTGTTTTCAAATGTTCAACTTTCCAGCAGTTTAAATTGCTGAGTTTTGCAGAGCTTTAATTGCATCAAATGCAAAAAGAATGGGACGCTATATCAAACTAACACGTAGCTAAGCACATAAAGAATGTAGGGGCTGAATTAACAGAAAATAATTCATATGATGCAAGCATAAATTGCTGAGTGCAGCGGAAGGAATCCCTATTTCTTCTTCATCTTGTTTCTTAATGGTGAGCAGTGCCTGGAAATATAAAATTGCAGAAGTGTGGTGGGCTATGTGCAGGGTCACCAACCAGCAGACCAGGCTGCTCAGAGCCACATCCAGCCTGGCCTTGAATGCCGCCAGGGATGGGGCATCCACAACCTCCTTGGGCAACCTGTTCAGTTTGTCACCACCCTATGTGTGAAAAACTTCCTCCTAATATCTAACCTAAACCTCCCCTGTCTCAGTTTAAAACCATTCCCCCTTGTCCTATCACTGTCCACCCTTGTAGAAACCCAGTTGTCACTGGAGGTCTTACCCTGGCAGTAGATCTACAACAGATGAATTATTTAAAGCAAATAGAGGCAACAAGTCCTTGTGTGGCCCCACAGTGCTTCCTGCCTGTGGAAGCTGGGATCAACTGGGGATGTTTCCCTTGGCTTACAAGAAAAGCTGAGCTGCTCCTGGCCCTCCTGGGACCTGTCCTGGTGAGAGGTCCTCCATGTCCCCGTGGGGAGGGACTGAGGAAGGCTCATTGCTCCAGCAAAATGAAGTGATGAGAAAAACAAAGCTATACCCGCTAGAAAAATGTGATAAGGCCAAGGACAGTGGGCATGAGGAGCGGGCAAGAGTGAGCTGTTACATGCAGCCGTGTTCTAGGTCTTTAGGCAAAGCTTGATCTTTTCTATAAACAAATAACGCACTTATTTACATGAATAATCCCCATTTCTCATGCAAATGATTTCCCTACTGCCACTTCTGCCGCAAATAATTTTCAGCATAATTACCACATTTATGTAGTGAACGTGCATTCCCAGGGTAGCTAGTGCTCTGTCCGTGGATGCTCCTCACCAGAGAGGCCCACAGAGCACCAGGGGAGCTTGAGCCGCCAGCACTGTGCACCCTCCTCTTTCTGTTTTTGTTCTGATAATGCATTTGGGGACCATTTTAGTTGTCTCAGCAAGAGCAGAAGGGTGCCAGCATCATGCCTCCATCCCAGGGAGAGGACCTGCTTCTGCAGGAGGCAGCCCCCCAGCCCCCACCAGCTAGCCTGCTGCTTGGGCTTGAGCTGACTGTAACGAGGCAAGGCACTCTGAAGAGCAGCTTTCCTTTGGGGATAAGGCTATCTTAATTTTTTTTGTGTGTTTAAGTTGGTAATTGCTAAGGAATTTGAAAATCTTCCAGGTTTTACCACTCTTAATTATGTTCTCATGCATATGCATCATCTACTTGCATGCTCATTACTGCAAAGAGATCAGAGCCTGGAACTTTGGAACAGTTTCCTTCAATTATCTCCCATACACCATTTTTTCAGTGAAATATCCTTCTTGCATGGGACAGCCTGATCTGTTCAGAGCCTGTCTTGCTGTCCAGAGCTGCATGCAGTTAAATCAAGATGCATTTCTTCCTTTGTGTTTGCCTTGCTCCTGCATGGAGCTTCCCCTTGCTCCTACCACCATCTGTTCATACTCCCATTTGGCAGGAGGCATTATGGCATCCCAGTGGAAATATTTCCACTTTTTAGGACTCTGACTGATTATTTACCTGCTCTGTTTGCATCAATTGATTGTTCTGGTCCAACAAGAGCCTCTGGCATGGACAAATTCTAACATATTTGAAGGCATTAATGAGGTGTTACGTTGGGAAGAAAAAATAATGCTGTTGGGCTTCAAACTTGTTCTTGCTCAATAACAGTAGAATAAATGCATGTAATTAAATAGTGGGAAAACCAAGCCACTGCTTTGCTTTCCAACCAGCAACAATGGTGATGGGAAATGAGATATTTAATCCACCTGAGTGCATTCAGTGCACAGGATTGTTCCTCCTGCAGGATTCCTAGCACTGTGTGTCTACAGAGTAAGCAAG